TGGGACTGAGGTTCAAGTCCCTGCAAGACCATGTGACCTTGGGAAGACTCCTTCGCCTTGGTTTCTTCATCTGTAAAATGGGAGTAATAATAGTACCTACTCGTCAGAGCTGTAACGAGGCTTAAATGAGGCCATGCATGAAGCAGGGCTGAGCCCTTGGCCTTTTGAAGCAAATTTCCCTTCTGTGAAATCTCCAGGTCAGGAGAGGCATCTTTCTCTCCATATTAGGGTTGTCACTCATGCAGTGGTGGGGGTGGAGTGGTGTGTCTCTGGTTGCAAAATTGAGATTTAGACCCCATGAATGTCTGGCAGCAAGGCCCTGGTTCTAACCACTCGGGAACACTGCCCCCTTGGGCCTGTCTCCACCCACTGCTAGGTGTGCATGCACAGGGCAGGGAGCCAGGGGGAGCATTTGATTCAGGAGGCTGCTCACCTTTCTGGATTTTATAATCTCTGATCTTATGGTCACCTGAGACTGGAATTTTTCTAACTCTGGCATACTGCAGTCTGAACCAGGAGAAGCAGGAGACTCTGGGGATGGAGATGAGCTAGGGAACTGGGAATAGGCCATGACTATGAACCAAGAACCTGCCTGCCAGTGCAAGAGATGTAAGAAACATGGGTTCTTTCCTTGAGTCTGGAAAATCTCCTGAAGGAGGGCATGGCAACCCACTCCAGTACCCTTGCCTGGAGAATCCCATGGACAGAGGAGCCTGCTGGGCTATACAGTTCATGAGGTTGCAAAGAGTTGGACATGACTGAAGTTACTGGACAGGGAAGCCTGGCTTGCTACAGTTCATGGGGTGGCAAAGAGTCGGACACGACTGAACAACTAAACTGAACTGAACTGAAGCTACTTCGTGTGCATGCACACATGAGCCTGGGCAACAGTGACATCCCAAAGGATTCAAAGTCTTCCAAGCAAAGAGGTGCTGCTTCGCCCCACGTTTGCCTAGGATTTCTTCTGGGTTAATCGACGAGAGAACTGAGTTCTCAGCTCAGAGCTGCCCCTCTCTAGCCAGCTGACCTCACACCAGTCCCTCTGCCCCTCTGAGCCTCAGTCTCCTCATCTGTGTAATGGGGATAAGAATACTTGCAGCTGTGAGGATTACAAGATGTGGTCTGCACAGAGTGCCTGGTGAACACTACCCATTGTTCAAACCGTGTGGCTGTCTGGGGATGAAAGGGGGTGTCTTGGGAGGGCAGGAAGTGTGCGAGTAGACGTGGGGAGTCCTGCCAGGGCAAGAGTTGAGCCTCCAAGGACCCCATCTCACAGATGGAGTGCCTTGGGGAAGGGCTGGGAACCCCAGCTCCGGTGCTCTCCCAGATCAGGACAGGTCAGGGGGAGGTCAGGGGCCCTGGGCGTGCAGAGAAGAGCAGGGAACCGAGGTTCTCAGGCAGGTGAAAGGGAAGGAGGGAGGAAGTGGGGGCTTCTGGGAGGAGACAGGAGTGGCGGTCGCTGTGTGTTACTGGCCACACGGTCACCGTGAGGCCCCAGACCATGACCTCCTTTGTCCTGCATTACCGGCTTTCAAGTGAGGCCTTTCCCCAATGGGGAAACCGAGGCTCCAGGAGGCAAGATGACTTGCCCAGGGTCACACACTGCAGGCTCCCCAATCTGTCTGGTTCTGCAGCTCAGACTCTCCAACAGTCACAGCCACTTTCTTTATCTTATCTGCCTGACGAGGTTGTGAGTGAAGCAGCGTGATCTCAGAGGCGCAGAGGGATCCTGGGCCCTGCTGCTGTCTCCTAGGACCCCGAGCTCTTGGCTGCCCGTTGTTCAGGAGACACTGCTGGGAGACCCTGGGGGCTGAGGGCTGAGTGAGAGCAGAGACCCCTGGAGGAAAGGGTAGTGAGCCTGCCATCTCAGGACGGTTCCAGTAGAAACACCCCAACAGCGGGGGAAGCTGGAGGTGTCGCTCACAACAGGGCCCAAACTAGCCAACCTAGCTCTGAAATTCCTTCTTCTTGTCTTAAAAATTCATACAGATTTGTATCCTGTTAAATAGGTGGGCTCCCTCACCCCCCCAAAAAAATCAGTTTCTACTCTCAGTTTCTGCCTGCGTGGATACTCCAGGAAGACGTGATGTCTTCAGTGACTGCGTGTATCTGGTGCTTGCCCTTTGGACCCCAGGCCCTGGGCCCCTGGTCTGGTTTGAGAAAGTGCAGGGACAGAGTTGAGATCACCGTCCTGCCCGTTCTCACAGTCCAGGGCTCTCCCCGCCTCCACTCCTTGCTCCGGCCTCTTGCTCTGGCTTTCCCGGCTCCTTTCACAGACGTTTGTCCAGCCCAGCCAGCCGTCCTGCTGGGACTTCTCAGATGCTTCACCCCCTCCCCACCCCTCTTCATGCCCTGAGGGTCCTTGTCCGGAGGGGCCCTGCCCGTCTGCAGCTGTCTATGCGGGGCAGTCTAAGCCTTTGCCTCCCCAGAGAAACAACAGCCTTGTTGAGTTTCCCCACGCCCATTTGGAGGAAACTGAGGCCCAGTGCTGAGAGAGGCTGGGCCTCCAGGGTTCCCAGGGGACCTCCGGGCAGGTGGGGTACCTCGCTAGGCCTGGGGGAGAAGGCACCCAATCCGGGCCCCCCCGCAAGGGATGCAGGAAGGAAGAGGGAAAGCCGTGGGGTGCCGGGGGCTGCCGCCTGGCAGGTCCCTGTGCCCGGGGTAGGGAAGTTTCTTATTTCTCCTGCTCCGACTTCCCCCTTTGATTTATTATAGCCATGAAATGCTCTGCTCTCTTCTCTTTTCCTCGCTGTCCGCGGGGCTGGAGCAGTGCAGGCCCTGCGGGGACTCCCACCTCCCTCCAAAGGGTGAGCCCCGGGGGGGACCCGTAAAGGAGAGGTGAGTCGGGGCAGGTGGGGTGGGACGAGGAGGGGCCCCGACTCCCACCCGCCCTCCCTGCCCCCGCAAGGCGAGCCCCAGGGGGCAGGACCCCAGGGGCTGGCAGTCTCGGTCGGGAAGGGCTGGGGCCGGCCCGAGAGGGTGTGGCAGGTGTGGACTTGACGGCAGACAGCTCCCAGGGGCTGTGGGGGTGGCGGGCTCTGAGGCTGTGGCCCCGGGGAGGCTGGCCAGGATGGAGCCGTCAGGTCGAAGGCCGTGGAATAGTCCTCCCGTCCCAACCCTTAGGCCGGAGAGGCGGCTTCTCTGTGACCCCTGACCCCACATTCTGATTTCACGAGGGCCAGAGGAGGCCTGGTTCAGACGCATTGGGGGGATGGGGCTGAGCACCCAGAGGAAGGCGGGAGGCCTGAAGCCCAGGCCTCGGGCTCCTCCGGGCCGCCCCCCGACCCCCACTGGACACCGGCCCGTGGCCGGGGCCAGGCAGGTGAGGGCTGAAGTCCGACGGCCCAGCCCCCGGGGCGGACCTGTCGGCCGGAGCGTCCCCCGCCGCGGTGTGGTGCCTGTGGTAACCGGGCTGTTGGCGTTTTGCAATGGGCCGGGGGCGGGGAGGCTGCGCACACACGCTTCCTGTGGTGACTGGGCGCTTCCTGTTTTCTCAGGCGCCGGACTTGCTGCTGCCGATGTGGAAACAGGGGCAGCTGCAGCCGGGGTGGCTCCAGGCAGGGCAGCCCACCGACCCTGCCCAGAGGGGGCCTGAGTGGGCCCGCACCCCAGGCCCCGACCCGGGCAGGAGATGGCCCGAGTTACCCGCCAACCCCAGGGCTCCCAGCCCTCCCATCCCCAGCACTAAGAGGAAGGGGCCAGGCAAGTCTGCCGCTCAAGGCCGAGCAGGTGGTCCAGAGGGTCTGAGGTCCAGGGCCGGGAGCTCTGGTCTCAGCTCTGCCCTTTGTCCACTGAGTGTCTCTGGCCTTCCCTGACCCACTCCCGGCCTTGGTTTTCCTCTTTCACGTGAGGTGATCGTGGTACTCATAGTCTAAGATCCCTCGCCCGTTTCCGCCGCAATTCTGACAGTCCTTGATTTTTTCCATCCCAAGAGCTTCAGCTTGTAGGATAAGATCCGCCCTGGGACTGGGACCCTCCGAGGAAGGGCTTGGCATAGGCCTCGACAGAGAGGGGTTTGGACAGACGGAGCAGGGAAGAGCTCACCCGCTGGGGGAACCAGACTTCAAATTGAGGTGTGGAGGTTGGGAAGGCCAGGACCAGGTTAGGGAGACAGGGTGTGGATGGGACAGACAGAGAATGGTGGGTGACCAGGCTGACTTGGAAGTATTCCGAGCGGGAGAAAGATTTCCGGATCCCCTTTATTCCTACACATTTTAGAAAAGGGTCCGGTCCACCCTCACATTATTTCTCAGGAGAAGGACGAGTAGGGCTCGGGGCCAGGCCAGCCCTTCCCGGCTGTCCTGCAAGGAGGTGGGTGCCTGTGCGGCCTGACACCTGGGCCTTGGCAGGGCCCGGAGCCTTCTCCCAGTGTCGGGTGCCTGGAGGTTCCACCACCAGGACCAGGCCTCGGGAACTTGGCATTGCCTTTTCCCCGAATGTGTGTTGTTTTGTTTTCAAGCTGCTCTTGCAAGAAGGGGAGGGCAGATGACTTGTGCTTGTGGAGATTGCTGACAGCATCTGACGTCTGGAGGAAGAATTTCTTTGCAGGAAGGCTGAGGCCTGGGTGCCCCTGGGGGAACTGACCAGTCCACTGACTGAGTTCAGCCACCCCACTTGGCCCAGGAGGTTCTGAGGTGCCCACTTCCTAAGTGGCTTCTCCTCAGTCTCAAGGCCTGTCCATCGTGGACGGCCAAGGACTGGTTCCAGCCAGAGAGGCCTCGAGGATCCCAAGACCCTGGTGCGCAGCCTGAGGGGCCGGGAGGCCGGCCTGGCCCCCGCCATCGCGTCCCCTGCCTTGGTGCCTGGGGTCAGCCCAAGTGCTGAGTTGGCGGCTCCGCAGCTGCTCTTCTGCCCACGGAGGCCCAGTTATAAATAAGCCCAGTGTGGCCAAGTCATCAAGTTCTATCCCAGCTGTATTACCTCAGTGACCACAGGTTGGGGCTGCCCAGAACCGGGCCCGCCAGAACCTGCCCATCAAGCCCAAAGGCCGGGCAGCCTCGATGCCCGCGGGGGTCCTCAAGCCCAGGCCAGCAGCGCGTGCAGCTAGCTGCTCAGACCTGGACCTCCCTGGACACGGGCCACAGAAGGGGCAGGGCCCATCCCGCCCGCACGGAGCCAGCAGCTATTTACAAACCGAAACCAGGAGAAGCGAAGTGACTGCGGCCAGAGTGACTCCAGGCCCCCAGGCCCCCACTCCGCACGGCTTCCTCTTTCCTTCCCCACACAGCTCCCCAACCTCCCACTGCCCCAGCCAGCTCTCTCTGGACAACCTGCCAGGACCTCGCAGTGACTCCCCCACCTGCCTCATCCCCGGCCCTTCAGCCACTTGCTTGGAGTAGCAGGGGGGTCCTCTTCAGCTCCTCACCACCCCCCTCCAGGACCCCATGAGCTTGGGCTCCTTGGAGCAGCCCCCTCCCACTGGCGCCCGGCCCACTCTGGCCTGCCCAAAGCACATTCCCACAGTTCTCAGTTCCCCTTCGTGACTGGAAAAGCTCCAGCCCCGATGGCCGCCATGACGCTGCTCGGCCCTGCCCGAGGGTAGCCGCTCCAGGGGCCCCTTGACCTTTCCCGGGTTGGGGGGGTGGGGGCAAGGAATCTGGGGTGCTGCGGTGGGCCTGGGGGCACCCGGGGCCTTCCAGGAGGCTTGTTTCTGGGTGGGAGGCCCCAGCCGCCTACTGTCTTTGAGCTGGGTTTCAGCCCCCTCATTCTGCTGGTGTGGGTCACAGGTCCTCTTGCGGGCCAGAGTTGAGCTGGGACGGATGGACGCTGGGCCTGAGACCACGGCTCACGCTGCTTAGGAACTGGCAGGCAGGACTGGCGCTGCAGCAGGGGATTGTTCTAGGAAGAGACAAAAGACAACACAAGGAACACTCGTTTCAGATCATGGACGAGCTCTCATGATGACGCAGAGGGGGGTCAGTTCTTTTTGTCCCCAGATAGAGCCTGTCCCACCATCTCCATCAGAAATGACTCTGGGGTGCAGAGGGCGAGGCGCATGTCCCAGGCTACACAGTGGGCAAGCGTCTGGACTGGGAGTCAGGGTTTCCTGACACCGAGTCCCCTCGTCTGTCCATCTGACTGGCCCTCGCTCCGTCTCATCCGTCTGTCTCCTTCCCCGGGGAGGACACAAGTTTCCCAGCCCCAGGGACAAGGCAGGAAGCCAGGCTGGCCCAAAGCTTGAGGGGGATTCAGGCTTTGGACGCTGGAGCTGCCGGACAGGGTCATCAGCGGCCCAGGTCCCCCTCCGCGGCCCCAGGGGAAGGCTCTGCCTGCCCCACTCCATACCTACCACCAAGTCCCAGCTGAAGCGGAGCCCTGGCTCCCACCCCGCCTCAGCCCCAGCCAGCGGGCTGCGTTTCACCTAACCTCTCTGGACGTCAGAATCCTCTTCCGTGGATTGTCAGTCCTCAAACACAGAGCACCCACTCCTTGCCAGCCGCCTCAGGTGCAAACTGTCTCTGGAGCTAGGACATGGCACCTGCCCCAGTCCTGTGTGCACGGCGGATGAGTGACAAGGTGCTGAGAACTCTGGGAGGGAAACTGAGGCTGGGGGACCCCAGGAGAAGGTGACAGGTGCTTCCTGGGGTGAGAAGGGGCCTCTCGGGTGGGGTAGGAAAGAGGTCCCCAACAAAAGCCTGGGGGGACAGGCTCCCCATGCTGAGTCCCACCCCTGGGCCTGGGCTCTAGTGGTTCCCACAGTTCAAGTCGAGTGCCCCTTCTTCCTCTGGGCCCAGTGAACTCCTGTTCATCTGTCAGGGCCCATGGACACACCATAGTATGACCAGGCCTGGCCTGGCTTCATGGCTCCTTGCCTCCTTCTTCCCACCAGGAGGCCAGGCCTCCTTGGTCACGACGCCCTTGCCAGCCCCACCCAGCAGGCATCTGCTCCCGGGCTGGAGCCCCCGCCGTCCTCTGCTCCGAAAAGCACCGTTTCCCTTTTCTGGGTGACCACACGCCATGCACAGGGAATTTCCACCTCAGCCTGCGGAGTCTCTGATTCACCCAGGCCCCTTATGCATTTAACTCCTTCCCGGTACAGGCCTTCCTACTCCTTGCCCCTCGTGCTTGCCCGGGACCCCTAGACTGCTTCGAGGTAGCTTGGGATCCCACAGCCTGGAAATCAAGTCAGCGCCTCGGTCACCGGCCCCCTCAGCACCCTCCCACTCACGCACCGGGCACAGAGACCCCTGTCCTGCTGGCTCCCGGCTCGCACGCTGGGGCGGCTTTGGGCTGAGGGCACAGGCTCTGGAGTAAGATAAGCCTGGTCCGACCCTGATTCTGGCTCTTTCTGCTTTCTGGCCTGGAGCGGTATAAGGGTCGGCTCTGAGGCCCATTCCCATCTGTTAAAATCGATCCCTGTGCCGTCACTTTGTTGTAAATGTCTAGCACGCTGGCCCACGACCGGAACTTGATATCGACTACCTTCTTCCTACCACAGCGTCCCTACTCCAGACCTGGGGCCCCTAGGTCTTCTCCCGAGAGCTGGCTGCTCAGGCAGGGAGGAGGGCAGAAGTGCAGGCAGGGCAAAGGAGGGCGAGAGGCTGCTCCTCAAGGCTCTCCTCCGCCAGCTTCTCGGCTCCTCACGTTGCTCAGCTTTTCCAAGGAGGCTTTGGAAAGGCCAGGGGGTGGGCGCTTCCAAGGAACTGAGGACCGTAGAGATCCTGAGCCCTCCGAGACAGGGCCGAGCCTTCCTCCTCCAGAGGGATGCTGGGTGCGTGCATCACATAGAAACATCTCCAGTGCGGCCTCTAATTCTCACAGTCCCCTGGGGGGTATCCTGCTGTTGGCCCCGTTTTACAGATGATGATACCGAGGCTCTGAGAAGTGACTTGCCCTCAGCCAAGTGGCGAACACAGGGCAGGGATAGGATTCAGAATCAAGGTCTCTAGAGCCATACTCCTAACCTCCACGAGGTTAGGAGGATCACTCAGCATTTGTGGAGGCCAGTGAGGGAAACGCGTGCTGATTTGAAAACCTACTGTATATGAGGGGAGGGCTCACACAGAGTGTCTCTTTCTGCCCTCTGGACCATGCTGCGGCTGGGTCTTGGCCCCTCTATAGAATCGAGGCCTCTGAGGTTCAGGGAGGGGAAGGGGCTACACTGCCAGTGGTAAGGAAGAATCCAGGGGTACCTGGATAGGAGAGGATGGTGCCGGGGGCTCCACAGAAGAGGGGGGCCTGGCGGCGGTGGGGGGGGATGTGGCTCCTGGTCTCAGTGAGCCAGCAGGGCGGGTGCTGCCCGTGGTGAGCAGGAGGAAGTCGCTGTGGGTGGCGGTGGGTTTGAGGTGCCGGAGGCTGAGTGATGTGGCCAGGAGGTGAGCTCCCCGTCTGAATGGCCTGGCCAACAGGAGGCAAGGGTGTGCAGGGGGGTGGTGGGGAGAGCTGAGATTCAGGGCATGGCGGAGATCGGGCCACTCTGGAGATCTCTGCTGCTTGGCCCCTGGGGCCGGGGAGCTGGTGGGAGTGTTGGGGGGAGCGGGGAGGTGGGCAGGAGCTGGCGCAGAGTGTGAGGAGGGATTCAGTAGGGCGGGGGAAAGATGGAGGTGATCTGGGAAGGGAGCGTCTGGGGAGACAGCCTGGAGGAGGCGAGCCCTCAAAAGATGGAGGAGGAAAAAAAAAAGATGGAGGAGGCCTTTGAGTGTGAAAGGGGGTGGGACTGTGAGCAAAGGCCGTGGGAGATTGAGAAAGAGGTTCTGGGAATGTTGAGTAGCGTCTTTGGGCTGGAGGTGGGGGCAGGGCTGGCCCACTCAGGGTGGGGGAGGGTGGGAGAGGCTGGCCAGGGTGCTGGGGAGTGGGGGGTGGGCTACAGCACAGGACTCGGAGCTTTGGACTTCAGCCTGTGAGCAAGCCAGAGCTAAGGAGCACTTTTAGGTAGGAAAGCACCCATCCACGGAAGCACACGCCCCAGGGCCACCCCCACACCCCCCTGGACCAGCTGTGTGTCCTTGGGCAGCCCCCTCGCCAGCTGAACCCCGTGACCCTTGTCTGTAAAACAGTACTGGTAGTAAATTCACAGGGTCATGGGAGGTGGGGTGAGTTAATGCCGGGCGACGAGGGCCTCAGCTGGTGGGGCTGGTCGCCTTGGTCCCAGCCCCTGGCACTTTATGGGCGCCTGCCCTGGGTACCACCCGGGTCTCCAGCTGACCTGGTTTAAGCCTCGCCTGTCTCTCGATTGGCTGAGGCATGGACCCCCCTTCTGAGCCCCAGTTTCCTCGACTGTCCCAGGCGGAATGATAAGAGCCCCAACTTCAGATCTGAATGAGAAAGTGAACTCTGCAGTGGTGCTCCCGTTCTCCCGGAGTCAGGACCAGATTCCACACGATGCACAACATCCCTCAGCATCCCCCACCCCGTACCCAGGCTTCTCACCTCTTCCCCCTCCCACCCCGGCTCTGCTCACACTGGCCCCTTGCTGGTCCCCCCGCCTGGAGCTCTTCTCCCAGGTGTCTGCTTGGCTGGCTCGCCCACTTGTCCCCAGGATTGGTTCATTGTCCCCATTGCCCATGTCTCCCCGAGGCCTGCCCTGCTCCCCTTCACGCTGCAGAGGCGCCCCCCCGCCGCGCCGCCACCCCGAGCTGGGCAATCCCCTTTCCTGTGGCGCTTGCCTCCTTCTCGCCGACTCCGTGTGTCCCCTGCCACCCCCCCACCCCCGCCTGCTCCAGAATCAGCCCCTGGAGGACAGGGGCCTTTGCCTGTTTGGTCGCCTGACCCCTGGAGGCCCTGAGCAAATATTTGTCAGATGTCCTCACGGGCTCCAGAGGCAGCCCCGCACTCAGACCGGCGCTCAGAGCTTGGAGGGGCCCAAGGAGCCCCTCCCAGTGTCTCAACTATGAGAGGAAGTTGCAAGATGGCCATTTCTGTACACGGCTCAGCTCTTTCTGGTCATCTTTCCCAGCTCGCTCTCTGAGGTCTGAGTTCTCCCACACACCCCGTCGCGTCCTGCCGGGCCCACCCACTTGCAAGAGTGGAGGGCGTCTGGAGCTCTTTGGGGCTGAGGGTGAGGGGTCTGTGAGAGAAGGGGTCACGACGTTCCCCCATGTGCAGTCAGCTTCGAGGACGTGGGCCCCATGTTTCCTGTTGCCTGCCTGCCTTGTGATTGCAATAGCACCCGGCCTATCCCAGCAGTCGCCCAGCCCAGGGCAGGCAAAGGCCGGCCAGTGCTCCACCAGCCAGGCTGCCTGACCGCGTGTCCCTCTCTGCAGGGCCCAGTCCTGCATGGCCGCCCGCTTGTCCCGTGGGAGTGGGAACAGCACTGTCATGGGCTGCTGGTAGGAGGATAAGTGGGGGAAACCTTTACTCAAGGCAATGTGACAATATCTCTATTGTTTAATCACTCAGTCATGTCCGGCTCTTTGGAGACCCCCATGGCCTGTAGCCCGCCAGGCTCCTCTGTCCATGGGATTTCCCAGGTGAGAATACTGGAGTGGGTTGCCATGCCCTCTTCCAGGGGATCTTCCCAACTCAGGGATCGAACCTGTGTCTCCTGCATTGGCAGGCAGATTCTTTACCACTGAGCCACCTAGGAAGCCCATGTTTATCTACCTATTTACTTGAGAGTTAAAAATGCATGCAGTACACTTAAAACTAATACAATGTTATATATATCCCTTATATTTCAACTGAAAAAAATGTCCCCTTTGACTTCAAAAGAGGTAAGTCAAAAATTTCTGTGTGTACTTCAATAAAAAAAATAAAAATTAAAAATTAAAGAACTATCTGGGCACCTACACTGATAGTATCTAAATAATTATCTGGTCTCTTTTCCAATGAGTTAAGATAGAAAGCTGTGCCATTTTCAATATTACTTATAATTGAAGGAGTTTTTGTTTCTATTTTAGGTAATTCCTGATACTATTTATTAGTGTCTGCAGGGAGGTGCACAAAGATTTTTGACTCAGCCTGCATTTGGTTGTGGTGATTTTCTTTTCACTGTCAAATCTCTTAACTGTCACGATTAGACTTGGAAAATTAAATATATAGAGAAAGAATTTATAGCATTTTAGTGTCTCTCCCTTTGAACATTTACTTCTGCAGAAGCAGGCCTTTCTCCCACATAGTTTTCATCTAAGGCAGAAAAATAGGTTTCGTTCTTTACAGTTGAAGGATGTTTTTTAGAAACAAGCTGACGTGAAGGCATGAGGACTGCCACCTGGAGCCAGCACTGCAATCCCTCCAGTCCTGGAAACGACCTTTCACCCACATCTTCCCCCAACTATTCCAGTAGACACTCCCCTCTAGCTTTCCTGCAAAAAAAAAAAAAAAAGCACTCCTCTTTGACCCAGTATTTCAACTTTGGGGCATTTATCCTAGACATACACTTGCATGTGTGTAAATTAGCAGATTTTGCCTATTGCAGTATTATTTGTAATAGCAGAAGTCTGGAAACAACCTGAACATCCATCCGAAGAGACTGGTTAAATAACTTTTCAACAATGGAATGCTATACGGTAATGAAAATGGACCACAGCTACATGCAACAAGAATGTTTACACTATGATTCTCTTCATATAAAGGTTAAAATCTGTTAAGGTAAAAGCTAAACTATATTGTTAGAGATGTTTACTCAAGTGGGAAATCTGTAAGGAAAACAGGGAAATAATTACTGGCAAAGTTAGGATAGTCTTCCTTCTAGAGAGAGGCAGGACATTTGGGGAAGCTTCTGGAGTGCTGGCAGTGTTTTATTTCTTGACCTAGATGGTGGTTATGTACGTGTACACTTTATAATTATCTTTTAAATTGTACACAAATGTTTCCTGCAGTTTTTTGAATGAATGAGGTCTCTCATGATGTGACGCTACCACAGTTTACCCAAACTGTAGAATACTATATAGTCATTAAAAAGAGCAAGACGGCTCTATATGCATGGGCATGGAATGGATTTAGTGGGGAAAAAACAACCAAAGTGAAGCACAATGTGTTAAGGGCGCTGCTTGCTGTGTGAAATTTAAAAAAGAATATATCTGCCTCTATGCTTCTGTCTTCTAGACTTCCTCTAGAAAAAATATCCAAGAATCAGCTAACAGGGAACGGGACCATTTCCCTTTTTGTTACCTTTTGAATTTCATACCATGTGTTTCTATTACCTACTGAAAAATTAACATAGTTTAAAAAACCGTTTCAGGGATTTCCCTGGTGGTCCAGTGGTTAAGAGTCTACCTTCCAATGCAGGGGACACAAGTTCGAACCCCGGTTGGGGAGCTAAGATCCTGCATGATGCCGTGGGGCAGCTGAGCCCGCACAGCGCAACTAGAGTCCACATGCCTCAACAGAGACCCAGCACGGCCAAAGATAAATAACGAATAAAAAGATAAAAATAAAAAACAGCTTTGCCTCTCATTCCCTGGAGCACCTAAGTATTTTTCTTTAAATCTCAAACCAATTTCTTGCCCACAAAAACTCGAGCCACGGGGTCTACAAGACGCTCCTGGTGACTTCCAGCAAAACTGCGGACCCTGACCCTCTGTGCTTGGGCCTGCAGCCTCCCAGGACCCACCGTGCTGTCTGCTCTCGCCCTCCTGTGTCCTGCCCTCCCACCGCCCCACCCCGCTCTTTCTCGACTCACTTCTCTCTGCCCCCTTCTTTGGCTCTTTCTCCTGTTTTTCTGCCTTCCTCTTCCTCCCCAGTCCTGACCGCCTTGGCCCCTCTGTGTCCCCCCGGCCCCCTGTCTGCTCCGCACCTGGCTCCTCGTCCTTCTGCCTCCTTTCCCTGCCCTGGGATCCCGCCCTTCTGAGAGCCCCAGAAAGCAGGTCCAGGCTCCCCACTCACAAGCTGTGTGACCCTGGGCGAGTCATCAACCTCTTGGGCCTCAGGGTAACATGATTGTCCCGGTTCCGTGAGATCACAAGAGTGGAGGCACTCAGCCCAGTGCTGGACACTCAGAAAATACCTATCCCCCCACCCCCCACCCCTTTGAAGGAGTTGCTAGCTCCTGGGGTTGTGGATATGATCAGACCCTTCCTGCTCTGCTTGAAATTGTTTAGAATCTGGGTCCTGCTATTCCTAAGGCTTAGGACCTCAGCAGGTCCCTTGGAATCCGAGCCTTGGGAAGAGGTTTCTGGTGTGCTTAGGGAGGATGGGCAGTGGGAGGAAGGATGGGGAGGACTTGCTGGTGTGGGAATGGATACAGGGTGCTCGAGCTGCGCAGAAAGTAGGAGCCAGTTCTGCCTGTTTCCAGAGATTTGGGGCCCTGGGGATTTTCTCACCCTGGGCTTGGCCAGACTTGGGACAGTGGAGTCTCTCTCTTCTCTCGTGGCCCCTTGAGACTTAGGGCTCAGGAACACAGAGCCGGCCTGGTCCGCTGCCTGCACTCACGGGGGAGAGCAATACACTGCCTCCTCGAGTGTGTGCGGGCTCAGTCGCTCAGTCGTGTCCGACCCTTTGTGACCTCACGACCCCTGTAGCCCGCCAGGCTATCTATCCATGGGATTTCCCAGGCAAGGAACAAGTTGCCATCTCCTCCTCCAGGGGATCCTCCAGACCCAGGGACTGAACCTGCCGATCTACTGCGTTGGCAGGTGGATTTGTTACCCCCGCAATGCGCCTGGGAAGCCCGGACTCCCTGCCTGGGCCCAGCAGGGGCCCCTCAGCAGCTCCTGGAGGCAGCCCACGCCCCCGGGCTTGGTGCTCAAGGCTCTCCGCCAGGTCTGGCCTTGCTTCCAGCCTGTTCCCGTGTTCTCTGCCACCTGCTGGCCTTGCTCTGGCCCTGGCGTGCTCCCCTGCGTGTGGCCCTGACCCGACTGACTATGCGCCTCTGCCCCTGGCACCTCTTGTGCCCCTGCCTCCCCAGAGGAGCGTGCATCTGCTCGCATGTCTGTTCTCTCTGTGGGCCTGCGAGCTCCTGGTGGCCCAGGGCACGCCTCCTTCATGTTCATGTCCCCTTGCCAGGCCCAGCACATGGGAGACCTTCAGTAAAGCATTAGTGATTAAACAAATGAAAGAGAGATAAATAAGCATATAAACCAAACAAGCAAAGAATGAATGAGTGAACACAGCAAGCAGGAGGTGGCCCTTGTGCAGTAGAGACCACCCTCAGCCATGCAGTCAGTGGGGATGAGGCCTTCTTGATGAGAAAGTGGGGTCAGGGATGGCACAGATGCCAAGTCAGCCCGCCTCTCCCCTCTTCTTGGGAAGGGGCCTTGGTCAGGTTCCTAGGGAGTCCTGAGGACCAGTGCCCTAGACTTCTTGGAGAGTCCCAAAGGTGGAGGCAAAAAATCAGTGAAGGTGTAGGTGAAATAGGTCTAATGGTGAATCCAGATTTGCGATCCCTGGTCTTCCCTGCAAGCGAAGAAACACTTGGGTGTCTGGGATTCCACTGACAGGAAGGAGGCAGTGTTAGTGCGAATAGGACTTAGAGCAAAGGGTAAGACTTCACAGGAGAGGAGAGTGCGCTCTCAACGAGTTGGAGAACTGGATTTAAAAGTTGCCTCTATTCATCCTTCTGCCCTTCAGACTAGATCAGGAACTCCCTGAAGACAGGAGTCTTGTTCAGTAACTTTCTCTTTTCCCAGCACTGAGCATAAACCCTGTGTGTGTTAGTCACTCGGTCGTGTCTGACTCTTTGTGAGCCCATGGACTGTAGCCCGTCAGGCTCCTCTGTCCATGGGATTTTCCGGGCAAGAATACTGGAGTGGGTTGCCATTTCCTTCTCCAGGGGATCTTCCCGACCCAGGGACTGAACCCAGGTTTCCCACATTGCAGGCAGACTCTTTACTATCTGAGCCATATCGTATGGGCATGAAGCCTAGAACTCAACTGATATTGGTAGAATGCATCAATGGATGGATGGCTAGATGAATGAATGGACCAGTGAACGAACAGATTGATAGCTGGACAT